TTTTCAAAAATGGTATTTCTCATAATCTTAAATATCTCAAATAAGAAAACATCCAATTTCTGATGTTTAGCTTCAAAATATATACTCTGGGGATATTTTTTTAAATTCAAAGAATATTAAATGCTTAGAATACATTTATAAATAATATTAAAATTTTACTACTGTGATGGGCAGCTTGGACATCAACTCTCAGAGGCAAATGAAGCAAACACATCACACACAAGGACACTGTGTCAAGGAGGACAACGGTGACAGGTGAGGAGGAGACCTGCAAGTCGGGGACAGAGAAGGTTGGAGAGACGCAGGTAGTGAGGGCACGGGTGGCAAACAAAGGGCACAGGCAGGAAGGAGCCAGAGCACAGCAAACAGGTGAGCTACCTCTCATAAGCAGTCTTCAGCTTCATGGTTGGGGCTGATGTGAGGGGACCACATCCAGAATGATGGGGAAAAGGGGTTTAAAGGGATCCACTCAAAGAGAAACAGAACATAAGAACAGCAGTGGCCATAGGCTGACAGAAAGGAACTACAGAGATTACAGGTGAGGGAGACTCACCGGAGGACGATGGACAGTACAGAGGCACAAACAGAGAGAGGAGCCACTTTCAACTGCAGTTTATTTTCTAAACCAATAAATGTATCCAGAACCTCTTAGCACTAAGCTTTAAAACCTAACGGATTAAAATGTGTCACCCAAATTTAAAATGGTCTTACTAATATATCAGCTTACCTACCATCAATCATAGATCATTTTTATTTCTATACAGGGCCACAAACACAGCAAAGTGAGTATCACAGTAATTCTCAAGAATCAAGGGTTTAAGACAACTGTGGTCTCAAAGTTGAATCAAGACTCAGGAATTTTAATTCTCTGGTTAACAGAACAGAACAGAGGGGGACCTAATGCAGGAACTGTATTTATACCAAATGAAGGTCAGATAACACAACAAAGGTTTTTTGTACCAGTTTGTCAAGAGAAAAAAGGTAAGAAAAATCTGAGGTGCAGCCGCACACTCTAGTATAGACATGGCAACAACAAAAAGTCAAGAAGAGACGAAAATATTTACATTTCAAGTAGAGAGTAATTCAATAAAACATCTTCAATATTAAAGTCTTTTACATTTTAATTACTATGTAATTGTGTTAATTTGCTTTAATTTTATAGGGCTAAGAAGTTTATACATTTGCATTAATACAATTTGATGCATTAAACAATGTTTTAACAAAAATAATTCAAGACAATACTGAGTCCAAAAGAATTATTTTTCTCCTTAAAGAAGTCCATATGTTACTCAAGATTAAGAAACCCAGGCAATTAGATATTTTACTTTTCTTGTGAACTCAATTACTTTTACTTGAGTATTAAGATGATTTTCTAAATTACAGCAATAAAAAGATAATTTATGACAGTGGATATAATCTGGACATCTGGCAATCACTACTTATTTGGACAATGTGGCTTGAGAAGCAGTAAAACCATACATTTCTCTTTGTCAGTTATCCACTGTGGAGAAAATCTACCTTTTTCCCTCAAATTAAGGGCTGACAAACTACAAAGGCTATAAAATCTCACCCTGTGTAATACAGCATTCACAATTACCATGCTTGTTGATTGGAAGAGTCTTTGGACCCAAAAAACATGACATTAAGTATTATAACTAATTTTACTACATTTTAATGTAGGTGTCCTGTCGAAACCTCACTTTACATTACACTGTTAATTTTCCAGATTACTCTGTAAAATTATCTATTGTTAAAAGCCTGTTTAAAAAAAAAAAACTATTACATCAGATGAAGGAAGAATACACACACTCAATTGTTTAGTGTTTCCCCATAATCTCTGAACAATATTTTAATTACTCAACTGCACTGAACAAACAAGGAACAGTTTTCACTCTCAATGAATTCAAAGATTTGCTTCTTTACTGACCACGGGGTTTCTCACTTCTACTGGTTTCTCAGTACCAGAGATTAGTCTTCCTTTGGAGGTGGAATATTACCTATACTTTTGTATAATCTTTTGGCTGCCAAAATCTCAGACAGATGTAAGCAGCTGCTCAGTACTCAACTAAGACAAGATAAAAGAATTCACATGGTAAGTCTACATCTGGAGCAGAGGGGTCACTGCACAATCCTTACACGGTATCTGGTCAGCTACCCACTGGAGAAAGGATGATTCCTGGAAGGTTTCTAAGTTAAGAAAGGGAATCTATCTGGCTTTTATCACTGATTTCATAAATAAAGTTGCAGAAAAAATTCTGTACTGATCTTTAGATTACATGTGAAAATGAAATGCAGAGGGACCTTTAGGGATTTTTTAGGTGAGAATGTCCCATTAGAGATGTATGTAAACACAACGGGCAACCTCTGCACATCCAGTGATTCTTTAAAATCACGTACTCACTCCATGATTCCCTCAAACTCCCTTATTTCACAGGATGACAGTTTTGACTTGTCATTTATTTTCTGTGTCATCAAATACCTTTAATAATTTTCTCTTCAGAAAATACTTATGGTGTATCCTTTATTTTCAGTATTCCACTATACTTTTAAAATAACCAACATTTTCAGTATGACCTATGATAAGATTTCAATCTACTGTTTAGTAACTTCAAAGAGGCATATTAATTTTAGCATAAAAGATATTCTATTTCCATACATTTTGCTTGTCAATAAACACAGTACTGGGTAGGAATTAACTGCTAACGCTCCTATCAAGCCTGTAATATGCTGCATCCACTGCTTTTCATAATGTTTCTGTTCTATAAACAAAATACAAACGCTTTCCAAAATCTTTGGAGCTGGAATCTTTTTGTGAACACAACCAAAAGCCAATCAAGTTGTTACTGGAAAATCATATGGTTACTTCTCAGAAAAGTGAAATCAGTGCCTTTTAGATCCTTCCCAGCAATTAATTATACTATAATGCTACACATAATACGTCTAAAAAATATACTTACCAAGAAAATCTGGGGGAAAAAATTCCTTAAGTAACTCCCCAAACTGTTATTCATGACACTAGACAGCATCATCCGCACTTACACTCTTTAACGTGTACATGCAAGCATGGCTGTGTACCCAAGAGAAGAGTGAGCACAGCTTTGACCAAAGTCTATACCTCACGATGCACCTTCCAGAGCCGCCCACATGGTCACACACCAAATCCAGGGTGGGAAACACATTGATATCTTCCAGCCATGTGCTCTAAATTTTCAAAACAATATGAATCTCATGCACATTCATCAATAGCAACATATACTTGGCGGGAAGTAGTTAATGAATGAACAGGTGTTAAGTAATCCGGGGACTAATAAACCACACGCAAGTCAAACTAATTCACTCCCCAAGCACTTAATCGAATTTGAAGTGTGATAAATTCTTTTAAAAAGATAATTTAAAATTATAATTTAAAAAAACTTTTACACCAGAAAGACTCAAATACCATTGACCACCTCTTCTTATAAATGTTTATGTTCCAAAATCCTGAAAAGTCACACAAACCTGTAACAACAAATGCCATTACTTTAAAATACTAGAAAAAATATTTTTAAATGAGGGATTCTGAAAATTAGTAAGTAAAACCATTAAAGCATAACACTGACCTAACAGGACAAATATTTTACTTTTGCAATCTTTATTAATACGTGATCATCCTCTAGAGTCTCACCTGCTAGCCTTTCAAACAAATTTCGAAGGCAACACACACCTGGGCGAGGGGGGGAGTCCTTCACAACAGCAGGTGCGGGGAAAGGAGAGTGGACCAGAGGTCAAGGTGCCTAGGCTCTCAGCCCACCACTGTAGAAACAATGTACAGCACTCAGATGGTTATCAGCGCCCACATATGACAGGACACACTCTCCCAGTGGGGAAGGGGTCATTAGAGACCAATTTAGACTGTCAGGAACCACCACTCTCACAATGGATATCAGTGTAATTCCATTTAATCTCAACCACTTAAAATTTTTAAGAATGTATGCCGAGGTAATAGTTCATTTCAAACCTATTTAAATAAATTACACATGCACTAATTTGTATGTATACATTCTCTAGGTGTCACTTTAAACATCTTCGATAATTAAAGCCATTTTTTTGGGCTTCCCTGGTGGTGCAGTGGTTGAGAGTCCACCTGCGGATGCAGGGGACACGGGTTCGTGCCCCGGTCCGGGAAGATCCCACATGCCGCGGAGCTGCTGGGCCCGTGAGCCACGGCTGCTGAGCCTGCGCGTCCGGAGCCTATGCTCCGCAATGGGAGAGGCCACAACAGTGAGAGGCCCGCGTACCGCCAAAAAAAAAAAAAAAAGCCATATTGAAATCAGCAAATTTAGATAAACTGCCACTGACTTTAAAGTATTACTGGCCAAGAAAAGGTAGCTCAGAGCTTTAACTCTGAATGCACTTGATAAAAACATGCCAGGGTTGAGAAATCTGTCCTTGTTACATGACCACCTTACTATTTTCTTCAGAAAACAGAACCCATAAGAGAGGAGTATTTTCAACAAAGTAGTGCACCCAGGCGCTTTGAGATGAAAAACGGCAACGGAAAGCCTCAAGTCACTCTGGTAAAAGCAGAGCACAGGTGGACTTTCAATTCAGAATTATGTAGCTGCCAAAGCAAAGGACAAGTGAACAAAACTAACCCCAGTTAGTGCTAAGAGCACTGGGGGCAGATATTATGAAGAAAAACTCGAACGTATATTTGGATAATTTGCAATCTCTAATTCTATAAAAACTGCTAGAACTCAAACATCTTTCTTAACAATATTTCTGGTGAAATCAAATTCAAAACATAATACCTGGGATTCCTCCTTCTCCTAACAAGAAATTAAACTTATTAGGTAATCTGTACTGTTAAGTCCTCCACGAATTCCCATTTGCAAGAAGTAGACAATACGGGATAAATAACAGAAGGTGTGTATAGGGGGAGAGGCTATAATAATTCCAATTTCTGCCACTTCAGCAAGTTACTGTACACATACCACATCAATATAACAGAAATGGCACAGTTTCTGAGGACACGTTCCACATTTTATTTACAATTTAAGACTAACGTTAATCTCAAAATCACATATCCATATATCTATTTCCTTTTTGTTGATTTCACTTAAATGTAAATGCATGGTTTGTCCAACAAAGACTGTAAACAACTCTTCACCTCGTCTGGTACATGGAACACCCAGGAACAGCTTGTAACGGAAATCCGTCCACCTCCCCACAACAATTTTATTATAAATACAGGTATCAAAACAATCCTGAACGTATTTTTGATACTACTAGTAGTCAGCACCTATACTGCTTCAAAAATGAACACATTTTGTGACAATATTCATTGTACCTGCTACTTTAGACAATTTCAACGGAAGCTCTTTCACTAAGCAAGAGCACGCCATTCTGGGTTTTCCTTCTTGGGCTTTCTCTTCAGAAACACATCTGCTTGCACAGCCATCTGACACTTCTCGCTGTTCTTCCACCTGGAAACCTGAGTTCCACTCTGAGTACTCCAGGTTCATGCTTAAATGACGGTGCCTTAACAAGAAAAAAAACTGTGCTGAATTTTCCTCCTGTTACCTGAAAACATAATGGGTGTACATATATTAAATATACTCTTACAGATGTCCAGGTCATGTTTACCAGCTGGAATTATCTTACTTAATGTGTGGGTATTTTGCATTGTGATATTTAATCAGACATTAACATGAATAGAAGGTTGTTGATTTAAGACAAGTTTTAAATCCACTAAAATTAATTGTTGTATGTTTGTCCTTCTGGTGGCTGTGGAAGCTTCATATTTTCTTTGGACATCATTAGACGTCTTAGCTCTTGAAGTACAACTTTAATGCTGTATGAATTTTGCCATTTTGCTAACACTGGTATGCTCCGTGCATCCACCTGAAAGGAGGGGAAAAAGAGTAAGATCAACTACCAAGTTTAAAGGGGTATGGCGCCAATTTACTAGACACACTTTGATAAGAAGTTCTTTTAAAAATTCATAGCTTGGCTCTATTTTCACAAAGCGAACATTATGAAACTACTGGTTCAGATAATACTTAGGGAAAATATTCCTTCTTCAACAGGTGTTTCCTAAAAAATTGTGCCCTTTTTGTGTGGTGCTTTTCTGTAAACGTGTAGTGAACTTCAGTCATCAGAAATAAACAAATGTTATATAAAATAACTACACGTAAACATATTTACCAATTCCTTCTTGATAAGGTCAGAGGTTTCTCTCCATTTCCAATGCCACAACCCAAAGTCTGGGCAATGACCTCCACCAGGATTAAGGAAAGAACTGCAAACCCTGACCTCTGCTTTCAGATCTCTCTCTCCCGTGTGTTCTCCGCACTGTGCTAAATTCATCTTCCACTGCAGGAAACTGGCAGGATGGGGCTGGAGCTCCTTCAAAGCCTCACCCCCAGGTACCTGCCATCTCTCGGCCCGCCTGGCAGTTCCCTGGAAAACCCCTCCCACGGGGTTTCTCTTTGTCTGACCTCAGAACTCACCCACGGAGGACCACCTAGTCCCCAGCCCACCCCTCCACCTGGTGTTTGCCAAAAATAATCAGTGTCAATTGTGTGACACCTCGGAGACACAAACTACTATGTACAAAATAAGCAACAAGGATGTACTGTACAACACAGGGAAAGATAACCATTATATTGTAATAACTTTAAATGTAGTATAATTTATAAAAATACTGAATCACTATGTGTGCATCTGAAACAAATATAATACTGTAAATTGACTATATACTTCAATAAAAAATAAAAATTTTTTTAATTAAAGAAATTGCTTAAACTGTTTAACACCCCTGCTGGGTGAGGAGGTGCTAAGAGGAAAGCAGGAAGGTGACCAAATACTCCACAGGAAAGCTGGGAAATGAGATGTCCAGTGAGGCTTTGAAAAGTTCCAACACACGCCTGTGAATCTAGAAGACACACATGTGCAGGGCTGTACAGGCTCAAAAGACCTGAGAAGGCCATAAACTCTCACCTATGGCTGACCTTGAGCAACATATAAAGAATCTGATTATGCACCATAACCAAGTGGGATTTACCCCAGTAGGGCAAGGTTGGTTCAATATATAAAAATCAATCAATGTAATACACCGTATTAACAGAACAGAGAGCAAAAACCATGATTATCTCAACAGACACAAAACAGCTTTGACAAAATCCAACAACTTTTCATGATAAAAACACTCAACAAACTAGGTATATCAACCCAATACAGAGCACCTACAAAAAATATACAGTTAACAGCACACTCAATGGTGAAGGACTGAAAGCTTTCCTCCTGAGATAAGACAAGACAAGGACATCTGCTGCCATCACTGCTACTCAACACTGTACTGGAGGCTCTGGCCAGGCAACTAGGCAAGAAGATGAAATTAAAGGTCTTGAAAAGAAAGAAGTGAAACCATCTCTACGCACAGATGCCATGGCCTTGTACACAGATCCTAAGGCAGCCATTAAAGGAACTGCTGGAGAGAATAAACAAGTAGAGCGAGGCTGCAGGGTACAGGGTCCACAAACAAAACCTCATCTGTGTGCTTGCAATGAATGATCTGAAAATCACCTCAAGGAAACAATGCCATTTACAACAGGGTAAGAAACAGAAGTGTAGGCCATGTACACTGAATACTACAAAAAACACTGTTGACAAAGATATCCCATGTACATGGATCAGAAGACTTAATGTCGTTGACAATCCTCCTCAAATTGATCTACAGATTTCACACAATCCCTATCAAAATTTCAACTGCCCTTTCTTTTCTTTTCTTTTTTGAAGAGCTGGACAAGCTGATCCTTTAATTCATATGGAAATGCAAGGAACCCAGAATAGCCGAAACAATATGAAAAAGAACACTTACTACAAAGCTACAGTAAACAAGAAGGGTGTGGGACTTCCCTGGCGGTCCAGTGGTTAAGACACTGCACTTCCATTGCATGGGGCATGGGTTCGATCCCTGGTCAGTGAACTAAGATCCCGCATGCCACGCAGGTGGCCAAAACAAACCAACCAACCAAACCAAACAAAAACAAAGGGTGGTGTTCACACAAGGATGGACATAACCCAGATCAATGGAATGGAATACAACTGAGAACCCAGAAGTAAATCCATGCACGTACAGTCAAAAGATCTCTGACAAATGTGTCAACCATGGGGAAAGGACAGTCTCTTCAATAGATGGTGTTGGGACAACTGGACATTCACGTGCAAAGGAATGAAGCTGGACCCTTAACTCAAAATGGATCAAAGGCCTAAGTTAACAGCTGAAACAATAAAACTCTTAGAAAAAAACAGGAGTAAATCTCTGTGATGTTGAATTTGACAGCGGCTTCTTAGATATAACAACTAAATACTTTCAACAAAAGAAAAAGTAGATAAATTGGCTATATAAAATTTTTTAATTTTTGTGTTGAAAACATCAAGAAAACAAAGAGACAACCCACAGAATGAAACAAAATTCATGCAAATCATATACATGACAAGGGGCTCTTGTTCAGTAAATTAAGAACTCTTAGAACTTAATAATAAAGGCTAAATATCTCAATTAAAATGTGGGCAAAGTGGATCGTGGTAGACAGCTGTTAGGGACTGCATGTTTGTGTCCCCCAAAACTTTTGCGTTGAAACCCTAACCACCACGGGAAGGTACCAGGAGCTGAGGACCTTGGGAAGTAATTATCAATAGGTTTAGGTGAGGACCCAAGGGTGGAGGCACCACGATGGGATTAGGAGAGAACAAGACTGGAACTTGCTCTGTCCTCCCCGTGAAGACCCAGCAAGAAGTCAGTCATCTGCAGCCCAGAATGAGGGTCCTCACCAGAACCCAACCACGTGGGCACCCTGATCTCAGACTTCCCAGCCTCCAGCCTGTGAGAAATAATCTCTGCTGTCCAAACTAGCCCCAGTTTATGGTATTGTTGTGACAGCAGCCAAACTAAGACAGCAGCTTTTGTGATGGTTCCCAAAGATCTTCAACTCCTGACGTTCGCATCCTATGTGACCCCTCCTTGGAGTGTGGGCTGGACAGAACGCTGGGATATGACTTCTGACGTTAAGCTACAAAAATACTCCAGCTTCCATCCTGCTCTTTCTTGCTTTCACTCTCCTGCTTTGCAGACGGAAACCAGCTGCTGTGCTGTGAACTGCTCTATGGCCTCTGGCTATAGTGTATAAGGAACTGAAGCCTGACTGAGAACTGACTACTGCCAACACCTACATGAGTGAGGCCGGAGCTGCATCCTTCCTCAGTCGAGCTTTCAGCAGAGACCACAGCACAGGCTGGCATGTGGGCTGCAGCCCTGTGAGAGGCCCTGGGCCACAGTCCCAGCCCACAAAGACTGTGAGACAATAAATCCTTGTCGTTTTAGACGGTTCTGAATAGACATTTCTCCAAAGAGGGTAAAAAAGAAAATGGCCAATAAGCAGGTGAAAAGGTGCCTAACTAGGGGAATGCAAATCAAAACACAATGAATATCAATCAAAAGAAAACTTGATGCCTAATCCAGTCACTCTATACAAACACCTATGCTCCAATAATTAAACCAGGACTTAATTTCTCTGCTTCCAGGTCCCCACTCCAGCCTGACTATATGAAGCGTTGGTGGGGATGGACAGTCCAGGCACTTACACACAGTGAGCATGACAGACATGGACAACCCTGGGAGAGCCCGGGTGGAAGTCAGTCAAGCTGAAGACAAGCCTCACCCAGACCCCACCTCAGCAGACATCCTACTTGTAGGTGAACGCCCTAGAGCAGGGCCACTGAAAGCACCTTTCACGTAACAGCCCAAGGCCTTGCACTGATTTTTACTGGTCCACCACAAGATAAACACAGAAATTCAGAGTAGCCTTTAGAGAGTTCTACAGCAATTTAACGGAGAAACTTTTATCTTAAAAAATCTGAGCTTGGGCTTCCCTGGTGGCACAGTGGTTGAGAGTCCGCCTGCCGATGCAGGGGATGCGGGTTCGTGCCCCGGTCCGGGAAGATCCCACATGCCACGGAGGGGCTGGGCCCGTAAGCCATGGCCGCTGAGCCTGCGCATCGGAGCCTGTGCTCCGCAACAGGAGAGGCCACAACAGTGAGAGGCCCAC